TGAATGAAAGAATGAAACAAAGAAAAAAGAATGAAAGAAAGAGAAGAGAAGAAAAAATGAAAGAAAGACATAAAGAAAAAAAGAAAGAAAGACAGAAAGATAGACAGACAGAAAGATAGACAGACAGAACGAAAAAATGAAAGGATGAATGAAAAAAGAAAGAAAGAAAGAAAGAAAGAAAGAAGGAAAGAAAGACAGAAAGAAAGAAAGAAAAAATAGAAAGAATAAAAGAAAGAAAGAACGAACGAACGAACGAACGAAAGAAAAAAATAATGAAGGAAAGAAAAATAGAATGAAAGAAAGAAAGAAAAAAAGAAAAAAAGAAAGAAAAACAGAAAGAATGAAAGAAAGAACGAACAAACAAACAAAAGAAAGAAAGAATGAAAGAAAGGAAAATGAAAGAAAGGAAAATAGAATGAAAGTAAGAAAGAAAAAAGAAAGAATGAAAGATAGAAAGAAAGAATGAATGAATGAAAGAAAGAAAGAAAGAAAGAAAGAAAGAAAGAAAGAAAGAAAGAAAGAAAGAAAGAAAGAAAGAAAGAAAAAAAACAATTAAATGAGAGAAAGAAAGAATGAAAGAAAGAAAGAAAAAAAAGAAAGACATAAAGAAAGAAAAAAAGAAAGAAGAAATGAAGAAAGAAAGAAAGAAAAAAACAGAGAAAGACAGAAAGGAAGAGAGAAAGAAAGAATACCATAATATTAGAGAAAAAAGATCGAGGTTGCTTTTCGGGAGGGAAAAGTTGAGGAAAACGGACAGTAAGAAAGGACAATAAAGGCGTTGAGGATGAGTCGTGATTTCTCGCCAATTAAACGACACATGTGCATGAAAAGACAGAGAGACAGAGAAAGAGACAGAGACAGTCAAAACGAGACGGAACGAGAGGGGGGGGGGTGGAGAGATAACAGCGAGTGTGAGTTTTTAAGTGTGAGTGATGAGCTGGGGGGTCACAGGGCGGGGATGACCACTGTCCACTACTGTCCACTACTGTCCAGAACTGACCACCACTGTCCGGTCCCGTCCGGCCTTCGCACCTCATCTGAGCTGACCCCTCAAGGAACACATTTCACACCAGCAGGACGGGGGGCGGGGAGCGAT